AGTTTGTTAAACAAAGAGGGAAGCAAGCCCCCTCAGCATGAAGACGGTTCCAAAAGAGAAGGTTGGCTTACATTTATAAATTATTTGTGCCTCTTTACACCCTTCCTCAGGCTGTATTCCTCTCTATACAAAATGGTGGCCATCATGTCTATCTAACATTAAGGGTAGGAAAAGACACTAAGATTACATTATTTTGCTAAACTTTCCATTTATGTGTGAGCCAAGTTAGGGAAAGAAGTAGCCAGACCAAATTAAAGCAACTCAATCTTTGAGATTCAGGGACCCTATAAAGACCAGAAAAGAAAGGCAAAAATAAAAGGCTTTCCCCCAGCCATAGTATACCACAATGCCAACATGGAGGACAACACCCAGGAATCCAGCCTCCTCTCATTAGGTCTCTCCTCTGCCTCTCACCACTAGCCACTCACATATCTGGGACCCAAAGAACTTGCCCAAGTTAGTAGCTTTCAGACTATTAAAAGAACTGCACAATTTGTATTCATGCTTTCTATTCTAGCTTCTGATAGTATAAGAAAACTAAAATAGCAATGAACTGTTTATTTTCTCCTCAGGAATTAAAACGACTTCAACAAGATTTTTTTTTGTGGGCTATTATAGCAAGACTACTAGAGGTTTAAAAGAAAATTCACTTCATTTCAGACACCAGAACCCTTCCTGTGCACTCTACTTAGAAAAATACAGCCTTATTTCTGCACTACCACTACAATTGAAATGAACTAGCCAAAAATTGGGGGGGGGGTAGAAGACATAGGACGACAGGTATCTCCAGTTCGTTTTAAAACTTGGCCAAATGCAACTCTCTGAAATGTGGTGGTGGCTTTATTTTGGGAGGGGGGAAAGGATGGTGACGGATTTTCCACGTCCAGGACATTATCAATGACCAGCAATTTCCCACCCACCCCCTTCCTAATCAACATCTTTTCAAAGCAGAGTACAAGGCAGAAAGAGGGAGGGATCAAGAAGGGGAGAGAGAAGAGACCCTCCTGCTCAAAGACGTCATTACAAAGAGCTGAGCTTTGGTTGGGAAGGGGCTGAGAGGGTGGAGGATGGGTGGGGGTGAGAAATAAACAAAACAAAGCAGATTCTCCCTCATCCTCCAATTTGGGATAGGCGGGTTCGGGGGAGGGGCTGGAGTGGGGGGGATGGGAGAGGGCCCTCTCCACAACCGCAAGAAGGGCAGTTGGCCTCCCTCCCACAACGGTCCCAGCCCCTCCAACGGCCGCTCTAGGATAACTTTGTCTGCCCCCCCCCGCCCCTGCCGGCGGGCGGAGGGGGTGCCCTGCGGGGGGAGGGGTGCACCCAGCTCTTTCGGGGGCTTCAGGCTTCCCCCGCTGGACGTTGCAACCGTTAGGCCCCATGTTTGGGTCTCCCGCTCCCACAGTCAGGGCGGGGTCCCCCTCAGATTTAGGAACCCCCCTTCTCCGGAGTGGGGGGCTGAATTGAGATGGGGATCCTCCGCTCCAATGAAGCCAAAAACGGGGTCCCTAGAAAATAAAAGGGGTGCCCCGGCCCCAGAGGCCCAACACTGAGGGGAGGAGGGATGGGGGCTCACGGCGCCCCCCCCACCCAAACATACACACGTTTACACACGCGCACACACACATACACGCACGCACACGCGGGCCAGGTCCCCTCCCCGGGCCGCCCCGGGCGCAGGCGGGGGGCCGGGCCCGGGCCGAGGACCCGGGACGGGGAGGGGCGCCCAGGTGAGGGCCGCCCCGGGACGGCCGCCCCGGGACCGCCGCCGCCGCCGCCACACAAAGGACCAGGGGCTCCCGCCGCCATATTGAAAACTTTCCTCCTCGCCCCGACTCCTCACAAGTGCGCCCCCCGACCCGCCCTGGCCCTGCCTCTCACACTCCCGTGCACACGCGCGCACACGCACACCCCCCACCGCGCCTCGCAGGGCGGCCGCCAGCCCCACGCTCCCCCTCGCCGGCCCCGGGATGTCGGTGGGGCCCCGGCCCCCGCCGCCGCCTCCGCGCAGCCCTCCCGGGCCTGCCCTCGCGCAGCCTCGGGTCACTCACCGGGGGCGGTCGCACCTTGCAGATGCCAGTCTGCTCGGCGATGGGCCGGATCTTGTGGATGAAGGCGAACGGGTCGGCGAACTCCTCCCAGCTAGGCTCGAACACCGGGCACTCGGGCGGAGGCAAGAACTCGCCCAGCGGGCCCGGGCCAGTGGCGACGACGCCGGGAGGCGCCGGGCGGGGGCCCGCCGGAGGCAGCGCCAGGGCCGACTCCATAGGAGGGAGCGGCGCGGGGCCGGGGTCAGCGGGGCGCCGGGGCCCGGGACCGGTGGGCAGAGCGCAGCCGAGACGGCAGCGACTGGCGCGACTGCGTGCGAGCGCGACACCTGGAGCAGCAGCAGCGACAGCGACTCCCCCGACGCCGAACCCAGCAAGCAGCAGCAGCTCCTCCGGCTCGGCTAAGTCTGCCTCCGACGCCGCCGACGACTACGACGACGACGCCACCGCCGCCGCCGCCGCCGCTGCCGTGGTCGCCGGTTCTACGCCTAACCACCGTGCGCTTCCGCCGCCACGGAGAGAGAGAAAGGAGTCCCACGGCATCCCCACCTCCCCCAATGAGCTGAGCGACCCCGCCTCCTTCCGTCCCCAGAAGGGCGGGGCCACGGAAGGATGGAGTGGGTGGCTTCTGGTGGGGGGCCGAGACTGTCATCCCACTAGTGCTGGGGTTGTGTCCACGTGAAGGGATGGGAAGGAGGAGGAGGGGACCGGATGACTAGGGTACCCATCCCCTCTTTATGCGGGAAGCGGCAGAGGCCCCCTTGGGATCTTGCAGGGCCTTCCCAGGGTGGGTAGTAGGAAGCTGGTTCCAGATCTACTTTAGGGTAAGGAGAAGCCCAAGCTTCCCACCAGTGGTGTGACAGGTTCTCAAATTGGATTTATGTACTCTTTAAGGTTTACCAAGCACTTTACTCTCAACAGCCTCATGATAGAGACAGATAAGGTGGTGGTGTCCCCATTTTACAGATAAGGAAGCAGACTCAAAAGGCTGACCAAGAGCAACTGTTTGAATATCCTATACAGCTGTTAGAGAGATTGGAACCCGAGACCTACGTACACCCTAGCACAAGCCACTTAACCACTCTGGACCTTAGTTTCCTCCTATTTAAAATAAGGGTGTTAGATTAGATGGCCTCGGAGGTCCTTTGCATCCTTTCCATCTGTGATCCTGTGCTATCTCCTGTGGAGTGTGGAGGGTGTGCAGGGACTAGCACCTCTGGTGTGAGGGCTTGCTGAGCCCTTAGGGCTGCTCATCCACCTTTGGTGTCCACTTTCACCCAGCTCTCACCTGGAGCTCCAAGAAACTGTAGCATGTGAAGCTGCCACGCCTCAGAAAAAAAAAAAAAAGATCTCAGCAGATGGGCTGAACCAGGTTGAGGGTAATCGACAGGCCTCACAGCCCTGGGTGAGTTAGAGGACCGGCTACCCTAATCGTGTGAATATTTCCACTAGTGAAATGGGTGAATGAGAACAATTTGTTCCAAAGCTGCCACAAAGGCAGCTGAAGCAGGTACTGAGGAGCCCTGAGAGCTTGGTCAGACACCTGAGACACCGAGGTCATGCTCTGCACTGGTCATCCTGACTTGTGTCCTGCCACTGGACTTTGATGACTCTGAAAGAGTGAGGCTAGGGAGCTTGTGCAACACAACCTCACTTAAATCCAATTGATGAGCAAGTTAAGAAATCACCCTTAGGATGTCATTGGGCCTCTTGAAAAATGAAATATAAACATCAAAACATGGTGCCTCAAATGCAACCCTCATGAAGGCCCCCCCCCACTTCAAATCTTATGTACCACTTTGATCTCACTTCTCATGTGCTGGTTGTGCATTTTATGCCATATAACCCTATGTGATTGTTAACTCCATGAGAACAGGGGCATTTTAAAATCTAAATAATGACATATCCCCTCAACTGTCTCCCCTTCACTTCACTTTCATTGAGTTTGAATTTTTCATTTTAATCTAAAGGTAGGATTTATGGTAGGAAAAAGAGTTTTGTAATGTACCAGGTTCTTCTTCTACAGGCTGTCTGCAGAGGTCTCTTTTCTCACTATCTCCCTGAAGCCCTGTGGAATAACACAAAGAGACAAAGCCCTTTTCCTCTCCAAAGCCCAGGTAAGGGAGGCTCAAGTGTGGTTAGGTGAAAGAGCAGCTGGGGAGTGGAATACCCACTCTTATTTATCTTGAGCAGAATGTGCTCTGTAAATCTCTAAAGCTGAATTCTGTGTTTTCATTATGCTCCTGCCTTGCATCTTGGAGTGGGCCCAGACATTTTACCGTGTGAATCAGCACCCCCTTCCTCCTTAATGTATAAAACTGTTTCAACACAATATCTGTTGATTAAAAAATATGTAATTAAGTAATGCTTTTAAATGAATTTGAATTTTATTAATTCAGTTCTTTTACATGAATTTGAATGTTATTAATCACATCTACATGCATTTGAAAATGTCTAATATAGAGAAGCGGAAACATTAATTCAGTCCAAATTAGACTCATTTGTTCATTTGAGGTTTCAAATATAGATTCTAGGACCCAGGCAGTAACCCTATGCCAGAGGCCCCAAGGCCCATAGGTTGTTGGGTGGTCCCCACAAATCTTCCAGATAAACACACATTTTCATGGCTGAGGTTAATGTGTATTTTTGCTTTTAGATTTCTCCTGCGGACAGTGGGCACAAGAAGGATGGGCCCACAGGCATTTAAGAAATGGCCCTTCCGTTGCTCATCATTTGGCTTCCAGCTCCCCAAACCCATGGTGGGAAGGGTAACCCCAAACCACGGAACTCCACTGGTGAAGGACTGGAGCATCCGTGGCCTAGCACAGGCAGGCTGGCAGAGGTTTGGCAGGGGCACTGAGGGCCCGCCGGGGCTCTATGCGAAGTGGGCAAAGCTAGCAGACCCCTCCCCCTTCCAAAGAAGGGTTCCCTTTGCCCTTTATGATGTGTGTTTACATGTGCGGAGGGATCCTTCTCCAGCTGACAGCCACACCACGCCCGGATCTCCTTTTTTTAAAGAGCCTAGCCGCTGGCAGTGATTGGAAGAAGCCGGGGTCGCATCAGCTTTCGGGGGGCGGGGCCCAGGCCGCATTGTCTCGGCCCGGGCCAGCGGGGTGCCCCAGGGGCCGGACCGCACCGCCCCTGGGATGGGGGCTCCGAGGTGGGAAGGTGGGTTACGGGAAGCAAGGCCCGGCTTGTCTAGGCTGGGTTACTGGTGGCGTCTGCACGGGGTGGCTGAGGCTCGAACGAACCCCCGGGTCGTCTTGCCACGTCTCCGGGACCCCCCCCCTTTCAACTCGCAGCCCCACCCTGGCCTTCATCCCACCGCCCAAGGCCATGGTCGTCCCTTCTGTTGGCAGGGTGCCCCTTATCTCCCCTTCAATCTCCGTGTGCCCGAGCCTTAGGCTTAGCCAGGGTCACTCAACTTTAAAGGGTCAGCCACTGTCACCAAGACAGACGCAATCTGCGCCAGACCCCTAGGACATCTAGCAGCCTCTGCATTACTACCTCCCACCCTTCGCATGGCCGCTGACAACACCCTCCCCCCTCCAATTCCTTTCATGCCGGCCGGTGATGAATCAAGGCCGATAGGAAAGATTTCCAGATCCCAAATGTGGGGTGGCTGTCTCCCTAAACAACTTCCTGTTCTCGGGTACTCGTACTCTTTCGGGTCTCTGGGAAAGGGAGAGCAGGCCTGTCTCTACTACTAGGGGAGGGGGCGGTGGCCGGCTCTGCACGTAGCGCACGTGTGCGCCTGGGCTCCTCCCACCTTCCTGCTCCGCGGCCGCCTCCTCCCCCTCATCACTGTCCCTGCTTCCCTCCTTCCTGTCTTTTCTCCCCTCCTCCTGAACCCCCAGCGATCAACCCCACTTTAAGCTCTGACCTTCAGATCTTACCCTTGGCCCTTCCTCATCCCCTCTTCCTTCCTACACTTCCCACCTTGCCTCGATCTTCCCGGTATCCTTTCTCTCCTCCAACCTTTTTCTGCTCTTCCTTTTCATGCAATCCACACAGAAACATTTCTTAAGCATTATTTATTTCAAGGCCCCTGATCTTACAGCCGCAAGAATTAGATTGGAAAGGGACCTCAAGTTTATCAACTTGCATTTTATTATTGGGCATCACTCTTGTGCCTGGCACTGTGCTAAGGTCCCTGGATACATTCGCGATAAATGAAACAATAACCCCACTCTCAAGATTACATTCTTACCAGGAGAGACAAGGACGTATATAAGTATATAAAGAGAAATATATTTTAAAAAATCAATACAAATCAATAAAGAACAAAGTGGTTAAAGGCAAGGTAGCATAAAAGGAAGGGCAGTCACAGTTTGGGGGAGGGGAGTATCAGGAAACCCGTCTATAGAAGGTGGTGTTTGACCTTCCACTTTGAAGAGAGGACTTTCTATGAGACTAACAGGTGGGGGGAAAAGCAAATGCAAAAACACCAATGTGGGAGATGGAGAGTGTCCAGTGACAGAAACAGACACCTGTTTGTCGAGATCACAAGGTGCATAAGAGGAACTGATGTTCAGTGACGTTGGGTTGGAGTAAGGTTATGAAAGGCTTTAAAAGCTTGACCGAAGAGCTCATTCTAATGGCAATAGCAAGTTATGATTTAATGACTAGATTCTAGTCCAACCTCCATTTTATAGATGGAGAAACTGAAGAGATTTCTTTCCAGTCCTGGCCCTTTTCTCTCTCCTTCCCAGTGTCAGAGCGGCAGATGGATTGTAGATAGACAACTTGGATTTCCCACCCACCCACCCTGGGTGCATTAAAATGAGTGATGCAAAGTATAGTTACTATGTTTTTCCAATTATTTAGATCTGACTTTATTTGTGTGAAAAGTGCTTTGTAATTGTGTTCGTATGGTTCCTGGGTTTGTTTCAGCGGGTAGACTCCTAAATATTTTATAATCTCTGCCATAACTTTAAATGGAATTTCTCTTTCTATCTCTTGCTGTTGGGCTTTGTTGGTAATATATAAAAATGCCAATGATTTATGTGGATTTATTTTATATCCTGCAACTTTGCTGAAGTTGTTTATTATTCCAAGTAGTTTTTTACTTGATTCTCTAAGTAATATCATCATAAGTATAGTTACTATGATAACCAATTCCTTCTCCCAACTCAACTGAATTTTTTCTTAACACATCTTGGCCTGCTCCAACCCATGCCTTCTCAGCAGCAATGCCTTCTTTTACTAGGACCATCAGCCTCTTCCTCCAGGCCACCTGTAACCTGGACTCTGCCAGAGTCCCCAGCTAGAGGTGAGCTTTTGATTTTATCTTGCCCAGGCCCAAACTTTGGAACAGCTACCTCTGCCCTGACTCCCAGTGCCCTAGGCAGCTCTCTGAATTGGGAGATGCAGAATTGCCCACCTTGCATTGGTAGAGAAAATGGAGGGGAGTGGGGATCAGGGCAGGGAGAACAGTTCTCTGCTAAGGAAATCGAAGGTGAAGGCAAAAACAAATAACGAAATGATCTCTGTCTCCTTCTTTTAAATCCCAAGGTCCATTCTGGGCCCCCTTATTCACAGACCCAGGCAAAGCACTAAACTAGAGTCTGAACTAGTAACTCACTCAAAAACTAAGGACAAAGAGTGTGACCCATGAATCAGCTTTTCAGTTCAAGAAGTGAAGATGATAGGGGAAGTGATTAAGAGAGTTACTAAAGCCATTCACAGATGGGCAGTATTAACAATGTGGATATCTAGTAGCTTCCTAGTTTAATTATTTTTGGTAACTAGGTGCTAAGCTCAGTTGTTTCCTGTAGGTTTCCTGCCCGCACCCAGTTGAAGCAGCAATCCCCAATTCAAGCATTGACCCTAAGAGCAAAGCCTCCTTCTTAATCACTCTACCACTTCCTGAAACCCTCTTGGCCCCAAATACGATGACTTCTCATGGTTAGCCCTGAACCCACAGCTGTGAGAGATGCCATGAATGTGGTACATGCCTGCGTGCTTGAGGATCCATTTCTTTTGACTAATTTAAGAGCAATTTACACATACTGTAAAGATGGGTCTGAGTTCCAGTTGAAAGAGCTTTCCTAACCTCTGTTCCAAGAACAAGACACTCTGTCTCTCTGCTCCAGGTATTTTCTCTGGCTGTCCCCCAACCCCAACCCAACCCACCCCGGATTCTCTCCTTCATCTCCACCTCCAGGCTTCCCTGGTTTCCTTCAAGTCCCAGCTAAAATCCCACCTTTTATAGGAAGCCTTTCCCAGTCCCTCTTAATTCTACACCTTCCCTCTGTTTATCCTGTGTATCATTTGTTCTACATACTGGTTTGCTTGTTGTCTCCCCAATTAGATGGTGAGTTCCCTGAGGGCAGGGGCTATCTTTTGCTTTTCTTTGTATTCCCAGCATTTAGCACCATGCCTACCACATAGTAGGTACTTTTGTTGTTTAGTGACTTGCTCAGGGTCACACAGCAAGTAAGTATCTGAGGCCTGATTTGAACTCAAGATGAGGCTTCCTACTTCCAGACCTCTATCCACTGAGCTACCTAACTGCCCCTACTATTAAGTAGGTATTAATAAATGCTTGTTGACTATTTGACTGGCTGACCCCCCAAATGGACCCAAAGGGACAGCAAAAACAGTTCGATAAACTTATTAAGAATAACCTATGTGCAAAATATTGCTATTATAGTTCAGTAAACTTATTAAGAACCACCATATATACACCATATGCAAAATACTGCTATTATGGGAATAGAGAGCTATAACACAGACCTTGTTCTTAGGTTTACAATCTAAGGTAGAGAGGTATACACAAATAATTGCAATATATAGGAGACAGTGATAAATACAAAGGAAAATCCCAGGCAAAGTCCTGTGAGGAGTTTGGGGTGAGAAAGATGACTTCCTGGTAAAGGGATTTAGAAGTGTTCATCACTGTGTTCATCCAGACTTCCAGAGCCTTGGGTAGCCCTCCTCCCTCTCCGAGCTGGCTGCCCGAGCAGTCTAGACAGAGCATGTGTCCAAAGGGGTGAAAACCCATGGAAGCAGTAAAAGGACAGATGTAACCCTACCAGGGCATAGGATGAGGTTCTTCCATTCCAGTCAGGCCACCTGCAAAAGCCAAAGCCCATGAGAAGAATATAAGACCTCAGGGAGAGCTCTTTGCTCTCCATTCCTTCTCTGGGTCAGATACCACACAATTGCTATGATCTTCCTAGGCCTTGGATCGTTGGAATATACAAAATGCCCTCTACCTGAAATGGAGTAGCTCCCAAAATAATGGAAACCATTCTAAGACAGCTAAGCACAGTGGACAAGGGAGAAAGCCCACCCACATATCCCCTGACCTGCTAAGATGGCCATTTCACTCTCTCTGTCTGAGAACCTATTGTTCTGTGAATTGTCCAGAAGAATCATTTGGGGCCAGGATTCATTTTCTCCAACCTTGAACTATCCAAATTTGAAATTCCAGGAGTCCTCACTCCCCTGTGACATGCCTCTCAAGAGGATTTTTTTACATGTGGGAAATGAAAACAAGTTTCTCTCAAGTCTGGAGCTTACCATTTATTATTCAATTATCAGGAAACTCTGCTCTTCTCAACTCTTTCTTACCCCAACCCCATCCCTCGAGCCATTCCTCCCCCATAATCATCCTTGTGCCTCACCTCCTTTGATCTTCACAGGATCACACAGGTTGTTTGTTCCTTTTTTTTTTAAAATCATTATGTCACCTTTTACCTATCTATCATTATCTGGACCTCTTTGCCTGCAAGTGTGCTCAGGTCCCTTAGTGGGGCAAGGTCCAATTCTAGGAGCTAGAATAATAGAAAGGTTCTTATATCTTCCTCTGTATAGTATACATATGCTGTTCCTATGTATATCATTTGTAGACTGTCCTTCCCATTTTTCCATAACACTGAGAGTAAATCCTGAGGTAAGGAGTAGAAACCTAGCCTCCCTATTCAAGAGAAACAATGGTTGTCAAGGGAATGTCACCTGGGAGAAATGATGACAGATGTGGCCTGTTTGGGATCAGAGGAATCAATGCCATCTGGTTCTGTCTCCTCCAGTTCCTGCTCTGTGGATTTCCAAGTTCTTCTCCAGGATTTTGGGGAAGGGTTCTGGTTCCTTATAAAAATCCTAGGCTCTGTCTCTAGAACACCCAATAGACAAAGGCAATAAATAATACACAGACGAAGGAATTCTTATGAACCAAGATCATGAAAGGTATTGTGGGGAATGAGGTTTTTAAATTTTTCTTTTTCCTTTCTTTCCTTCTTTGACTATTGCCTCTTCCAGTACTCTCATCTAGAAAACTGGAAATGAGAGTGGGGGAGAAAGAAAGATGGAGGTGGGTGGTAAGCAGAGAATGCCCTTAATGAAAAAGTAGAGGGAGACAACTCTCAGAGATGAAACTTCCTTCCCAAAGAGGAAGATGGAATGGGCACCTAGAGGAAAAGGAGATGGGTCTGAGTTCTAAAGAAAGGAGTTTGGGTGGTTGGGAGAGAAAAGGAGGAATCACCCTTTAGTTCCCTATAGCTCAAAACTCTTTTTCCTGGTAGGCCAACTCATCACCAATACCACCCCAAAAATTCCACTAAGTATACTACACAAGAGGGAGTGGTCAGTTGTTCTCTGCAGAGGAAACATTACATTTTAGTACAGCTGTTGTTAAGGATACCTACAGAAAGATATGTAATCCTTTTTTTTTTTAACAGAAAGCAGTTTGTAGCCCAACCAAGTAGTTATGGAAACCCACTGAGAAGACCTTAATCTGCAAAGTCCTCCCTATGACATCTAAATTTAAGTTTGTAAAAACTGTAACTTCAGAAGCCAAAAACCTAAGGTGGGTGAAGATAAAAATACTCTTCATGGGTCCTTAGGAGGGATTCTTGCTACATAGGACATCTCTCACAAACTTTCATGAAATCAGACAAGGATGCTTTGATCTGTGTAGAGAAATAACAGAAGATGACAAAACTTTGACTAGGAAGGAGGTTTTCAAGTAAATTTTACCTGGCTGCACTAAGCCCAAAGCTTTGGAAAAGGCTTTGAATCAAAGTTTATCAAACATAATGAGTTACAAATATCAGGGACTGTACTATTAAGACACTTCCTTAATTTTGTTTAGGTGATCATTTTCTTGCAATGTTTTCTGTTATCATCTTTTAAATATTAGTCTTTAATAAATAAATTGTTACCTTAATAACAAGCTTTTCTTAAGTAATAAAAAAGAGATAAAGGAAAAAATTCAGGTAAGCCAATCTTAGCAGAAAGTCTGTGGTTCAGGGCCATGGACTCACCAAAACCTCTCACCATCACTGCCTATTATTACAGATTTAGTTCTTTGAAATGATTTTTTAGAATCTAAGTTGAATGTGCCACTTAATCTTGCAAAGTATGACAGCAAATATCACATGAATCTCTTTCTTTCTTTAGGCAGGAGCCCCAAGTCTATATTCAGTCCAATGCCCAGTTAAGGGTAGTGGGGGGAGCAGCAGCAGGCTGGGGAGATGATCTGTTAGAGATAAGTAGAAAGAGGAATAGAAAAGGAACTATGAAGAGAACTTCTAAGGCAGGGGAGGATTGCTCTTTACCTACTTTGGAATCAGCCTTTTTAGGCTATATCTCCTGAAACTTAGACCCTGGGTGTTCTTCTCTATAGGGAAACACCTTATGCTGGGCATCATGCTCCGGTCCTTCAAACATTACACCATCATTTTAGCTGGTGCAGGCCTCCTGTGGTTTCTCATCAGTTTGGGAACCCCAAAGATAAATGAAGACATCTATCTTCTGGTGAGTATCAAAAGCAAAGTAGCTCCCTCAGATCTCAGTCTGGGAACAGGGCATTGTAGAGTTCACCCTGATATAGGAATAGGCCAGTTATCATCCAAATGAGCTTACTGCCTTCCTGTACCTCTCCCCCAGAGAACAGGAAGTGACTTCCCTAAAGGGCAATTGGATATTAGCCCATAACACTTGACATGATATTCATTTTGTACTTTTCTTGAGGGGGATGTGTGGGGAGGTTAGGAACAATACTCTGTCCAATGGCCTGGTATCCTTGGAATATTCCTGCCATGGTGGCTCTTTGGCCACCATTCCACATTACTTTTCCACATAGAGATCTTGAGAGAGGCCTCTGAAGGCTGAAATTTGTGTTATCCCCAGGAAACAAAGCGGTCCATGCACCAGAAGTTCAGCTCCAAGAGTGAGAAATACCTTCGGGAAAACTCATACAATGTCCCAAGCAGAGTCTCCCATCTCACCTACCAATACCTGGCTGGAGCCCTGCCCCTCAAAAAAAGTGAGTGTATGAGTGTCATATTATCCCAAGATAAAATGGAGGAGTCTTAGGGAAGGACAGCAACATCAAGAGGGAAAACTTGGGGAACTGAGAGAAACAGTAGAGGGGAAAGAAAGAAAGAGTGCGGGAGGGAGGAGGATACTAGAAAGTCCCAGCTATGCAGAGAGATATTTGAACCTGTAGATAACAGGTCCTGAGTCTGTAAACTTATAGAAAAATCTCAGTTTAAACCAGTAATATCCAATCTCTTCCACTCCACCTCAAGCACATACCTTTCCTGTAGAGAAGTTCAGTGTAAGAAGTTTCAGAAAACTAGAAGAGACAAAAAGGAAAGATGAGATAGGAGGTAAGAAGAAAGGAGAACTATAATTAGGGGAAAGGTGATTAAAGGGAGAATGAATAGATTCTATACAGTGTCCTAGGCTTTTAGAATCCTTTGATGGACAAAATTAACCTTAGCCATCCCTATGGGTTGAGAAGGCTACAGGAAATGCCAACCTATACTTAGGGAAAAAGACTTTCTTTTTGCCCTGTGCTGCTAATTATGCTCCTTACTTGCTTCCCAGAAATTCTTACTGTGGGACTGTCCTCAATGCAGAATCCTACAGGAAGATATCTCATGAGTACTTTGAGGTCTGTGTTCAGAGTTTCCTCCAAGAATGAATTGAAGGACATCACAGTGCTTGTCCACTTAGCCGATTCTGACCCTGATTGGCTCAACGAGACAGTCAGCATCATCGCCAGCCACTTCACCCCACAGATCCTCCAAGGGCAGCTGCTTGTGATCCATGCCCCATCTGCTGCATACCAGCACTTGTGGGACCAGCCATACACAGTCTTTAATTTCTCTGACATAAAGACCTTCCAGTCTAAGCAGATGTTGGATTATGCCTTTCTCATGAGCTTTGCTGCCAACCTCTCTGACTACTTCCTCATGATCGAGGACAACATCTGGTGTGCCCACCACTTTCTCACTACTATCCAGCAGGAAATAGAAGCCAGAAAGGATAAACCATGGACAATCATAGAGTCTGCCAACCATGGCTTAGTTGGCAAGCTTTGCCATTCCAGGGATCTCCCCAAGCTGGCAGGTTTCCTCCTCCTTTTCTACCAGGATGAGTCCCCTGATTTGCTTCTCTTCCATTTCCGAAGCCTTCAGGGCCAGCAGGATCCCATCCATATAAGCACCTTCCTCTTTTACCATTTTGACAGCTCCTCTTCTTTCTTGACTCATGACCTCTACACATGTGAAAAACCAGACAGTGAGAAGTTTCAAGAGCATAACTTTGACATTCCGGATAACCCACTTGCATTCATCTATACTGATATGCAGACTCTTCAGAACTATTTGCCCCAAAATGCTTATAGCCTGGATGAAACATTTTTTTTGACCCCAGATGCTCTGCCTGGACACCAACTGACTGTAATCCTGGATAAGGGTTCTAATATGATTCGGGTGCAGGTGCTGACAGGTACAGCTGTAGAGAAGCTGCAGAGTTTGGAGGGGAAAGTGGAGTTGGGTTCTAATCCCACTGGGGAATCAAAACATTGTACCAAGTATATCTTTCTGGGACAGCTGTGGGATGGGCAGTTGGACTGCAGGGTGAAACACAGACAGACAGGACACAATGTGAGCTGTGTGCGACTTGTAGTGACCAGTCCTAAGCCATGGGTCATGGTCAGACACATCAACATCTGGGTCAGTCATGAGGACTTGTAAGAGATGGAAGGAACCCAGCCTGGAGATTGAGTTGACATAGGTAACAGAGAATTAAAAATCTTGAAACCAGCCAGGGGCATTTATTTGGGTATTTGTCCAAGCTAATGAATGTGAGATACAAGCCTAGTAAGGGGCAGAAAAAGACCTGTTTCTTTCCTAAATTATCCTTTCCTGAGGGCAAACACTCTCTAACCCAACAGTGGGATGGCTCTGAAAACAGGAGCTCCAGGTCCCCCACTCAGTCTCAGTATATAGACCTAGGCTGTCCCCAGTCCTAGAGTCAAATGAACATGAAATAGGCTTGGCTTCTACCTTTAACCCAAGAACCTGGTTGACTGTAAGATTCTTCAGGGAATCTAGAAGGCCTAGGGGAAAAAAGCCCCACAAGAGAAGCCACTAGTGGCTAAATATTTTCCCTACCCAGTAATAGAGCAACAAGTGTACCAAAGACCAAAAACGTTCCATTTGTACGGCTGCTCTCTCAAGACTGTCTTTTCTGTCTCCTTCCTTTGACCTCTAAACCTTCTCTACCCCTTCCCAATCCCACAACGGTCTACACAATGGTTGGACAAATTTCGGGGACCAAGTTGCCTCCATATATGGATATTTTATCCTATATTTTCAATCATGATTATTTTATTGTAAAATGTGAGGTGTGTTTCTCTATTAAACCATTACATAAGATTCTTATTAGATAGGCAAACTGCCATATTGTCTCTAGCATCCACTGAAGATGAAAAGCAGATGTCTATCAACTCCTTGGCTCTGCCTTTATTTTCTCGCTACTACAGGCTGAGATGAGCAGCAGGCACCAGATCTAGTGAACTGTGGGCAACCAGGCATAAATAAAAAGTGGGGTATCTGTGGGGGCACAGCCAATTATGGAGGAAAGTAAATTTCTGCCAAGACCTATTAACAACTACATCTACCTCAACCCATTGTAGGAACCTTTCCAAATGTCCCCTTCAGGGGCAACTAGGTGGTGCAGTGGATAGAGCACCGGCCCTGAAGTCAGGAGGACCTGAGTTCAAATCTGGCCTCAGACCAAACATTGACACTTACTAGCTGTGTGACCCTGGGCAAGTCACTTAATCCCAATTGCCTAAAAACAAAAAACAAAAACAAACAAATGTCCCCTTCAGCTGAGCTCGCTCAGGAAAGAAGACAGTGAAATACATCAAGATTTGTCCCTGCTTTCAAAAGCATACCAGTTCTCATACAAGTTTGGGGAAATTGGGAACCTTCCCATTGAGGAGGAAATCTCAATCTTAGGTTAGGGAGAAGGTCTGAAGTATAGCCCTGAAGTTTCCAGCTTCTCCTCTTCCTGTAACCTTTGTTGTGTGCATGGAGGGATGGAGAAAGATCATAATTTTTTTAACCAGTTAAATGAACTTGCTTGTGCCTAAGTGGAGGGGGTGACCTTGGGAGCCTGGCCAAGATTAACTAGGTTAAAAGATAAAGCATTCAATCTAATTCAGTTCTACAAGCAGTTAAGTACCCACTCCTTCTAAGAACAAAGACAAAAACAGAACAGTAATTGCCCTCAGGAAATAGTAGTTTAGAGAATTAGAGGTAGGGGTAAGGGGTGGAGGTGGGAGAGGAAAAAAGTTCAAGTCAAGAAGCATGTATTAAGCACCTAACTTAAGTGGGGATACAAAGAAAAGCAATAATTAGCTTCTGACCTTAAGGAGCTCACTATCTAATAGGAGACAATAGGCAAAAAAAACTATTTGTGAATAAGACATATACAAGATGAATTGGAAATACTCTCAGAGGGAACGAACATTTATTAAGCACCTATTACATACTAGGCACTGTTTAGCTTATAAATACCTCATGGGATCCTTGAAACAACCTTGGGAGCCAGGGGCTATTATGATCCCCATTTTACAGTTGAGGAAACTGAAGCAAATAGAGGTGACGTGACCTGCCCAGGATCACACAGTATCTGAGACCAGATATGAACTTGGGTCTTCCTGATTCCAGGTTCTATCTGATAAGCCAACTAGCTAACTTTAAGGGGGAAGCTCCTTTCTGAAAGTTTGTCAGATCTAGTACAGTCCATAGAGTTCTCTCCCTCTTCAAATTTCCTGGTACATATGTAGAAGGAATGACTAGGATTAACCTGGCCAAAGTTAATTTGCTTAATTAATAAGGTCTTTGGGTACAGAAGAAGTTTCCTCAGGTGTAGTGTTAGCATCCTCACGGATACTCATTTGAAATCTGGTTCCAGTGAAGAAGAAATCTTGTTGATGGTAAACTCTGTAGATAGAACTGGGTACTTTCATACACACTACCTTAAGGATGATTGATTACTTCACAGCCAGCTTTTGAGCATTAGGCTTTGGAAAGAGGAGTTAGAGAGACTGAGATTATTGGGACCATGTCATTCCCTCTACTAAATAAACTCCTCCAGAATTTCCTCCAGAATCGAATATAAAATCCTGTTTCACTTACAAAGTCCTTCCAACCTGAGCCCTTCGTATCTTTCCAGTCTTACGTTTTACTCCCTTCCACATATTCTATGATCCAGTGACTCCATGATTTTTGGTATTCCTCACACCCTAAACTCCATATCCTGCCTGTACATTATACCTTGCTGTATTCCATGTTTAGAATATTCTCCCTCCATACCTCTGTATTGAGAATTTTTTATTTTCTTATATTCTTCTTGCAACTTTTAGTTAACTGAAAGCCTGTCTCCTGTTAATATTAACTTCATCTGACCAAAATCTGTCTCATGGGATGTGAAAATTTACTTTAAGCCTTAATCATTCCTTATATAAGTAGCCGGAGGAAAAATCTCAACTGTCTTTGATTCCTTGGTGATATGTAAATCTTCTTCCTCAATTTAGCCTATTTGTGAATCCTTTAAATGTAGTTTAATCTTTAATCTTACTTAGTTTACCTATAGAATTTGTTTGACAAGGTATGCCTTGATAGTGATTATATGAGATTATGGCTGTTTATTTAAGTTTGTTCAACTTTTATACCATTGAAAGAAGTATGCTATTATGAATCTGTCATTTCTTTAACTTTCATGGCCTAAGAAGAGCATACAAAATTGCAATACATAAAAGTGTTATTTCTCTGTTGCTCAGATGTAATTTTGCCTGTAAGTGGATTTGTTAAAACCCTAATGGTTTTTATGATTTATTACTTTCTCTGAGGCCTGAACCTATGCTTGAGCACAATAATAAAACCTAGGTTTTTTCCTTCATAATTTCTGCATGGTGGTAAATATGCTTTGGCAGCTGTTATCTACCACATGAAATGAAAGAGGAGATATTTCTCCCTTAACACTCCCCTCTACCAATTCCCCTAGCTTTCTTCAAAACTCATCTCCAAACCCATCTTCAGTCCTTTCTCAGTCATTGCTTGCTATCCACCCCTCATAAGTCTCTCTTCTAGCTGAAATTACACTATGTTTATTGTATATACATACACATATATATGTGCATGTACATGCGTGGGCACACATATGCATATTGTTCAGTCATTTCAGCTGCGTCTGACTCCTCATGACCCTATTTGAGGTTTACTTGGCAAAGATACTCAAAAGGTCTGCCACTTCCTTCTCCAGCTCATTTTACAGGTAAGGAACTAAGGCAGACACTATTAAGTGACTTGCCCAGGGTCACACAGCTAGTAAATGTCTGAGGCCAGATTTGAATTCAGGAAGATGAGTCTTCCTGATTCCATACCTGGAACTCTATCCATTGTGCCACTTAAATGCTACCTACCTACCTATATACATACATTATATATTCATGTATCTACATCTATAACATATATGTATCTTGTATATTTGCATATGTACATGTGTGTGTGTATACATGCATCAAGATATAGGGCATGTGTGTATGTGTGTGTATCTTGTAGAAAGGCACAGGACAGCCATCTCTCATTTGCCCTCCTGGCTCTTCTGACTTTCCCAGCTTTTCTGCCATGCCCCACATTAGGTACCTTTTCCCTTTCCCCTTTTCAACTCCCTCTTATGTGTTATCTTCCATTAGAAGGTAAACTTCTTGAGGGCAGAAATTGTCTTTCTTTTTGCTACTATGGTATTTATATGCCCAGTGTTTAGCACAGTGTATGGTACTACTATAGTCGGCCCTGAATAAGTGCTTGTTGACTTGTATGTGCATACATACATACATACATACATACATACATACATACATACATAGTTATATGTATATATGCATATGTTGCTTTCCTTGTTAGATTGTGAACTTGTGAACTCTTGCTTTTGCCTTTCTATGTATTTCCAGCACTTAGCGCATTTCTAGACACATAGCACTTAAAAATAACTTTTTATTTGGACATTAAAAAATGAGCATTAAACATTTTAAAATGAGCATTTCCATATACATGGCAAAATGTAAAACGATTGAAATGTAATGAATATACAGCAAAATATAATGAAATAAATTAAATCATAAATCTATATTTCATACACTTGATTTTTGAAAAAAGTATATAATAAATTTCATATATTACTTCCAAAGGTATCTTGCTAGTCTGATTTCTTCTGAAATCCTTTCTGTTCTCTTCTATACATTGAAAACAATGTTTTCATGACCCTTTTTGCTAACCTGTCCTCCTCCCAATAATCCTTTCAATTAAAAACTCAAGGAGAGAAAAAAAGTGTTACCAATAAAAAATAAAAATCTACTTAATCAACAAAAAACAATAGTAGCTTTTTAGAGTTTATGAGTGTTTTTTAATTCTGTGTCTACAACTGGAGTTGCTTCTAATACATCAAAATTTAGATCAGAATCATTTTGAAGAGACTGAGAATAGAGGAAAAAGGAGAAGGAAACATCACCCCAAATCTCACCACCTCTTCTCTCTTCATATGCAAAGATGGCACTAGCATTCACCTTCTGACCCTTTGAGATTCCTCTGTTTTGACAGATTTCCACTGGAATCAATTGAGACCCTGATTAATTTTCTCCAACATTATTCCATCCAAATTTGAAACTCTTTCTCACTCCATCATATTTCAAAAGGACTTTCCACATGCAAAATGTAAATAAATGGTGGCTTCTTAAATTTGGGCTTGA